CCATGGCCGCGTCCATCGTGCGCCTCTCCATAGCTTCTTCCCTGTGGGCATCACTGCAGCCGTACCCCTTGTGTGCACCCTGTGGTGGCTGTGTCCCCATGGGCATTGCGCGCATCTTGCCATGGCCCTCACGCACCTCATGGTGGCTGTGTCCCTGTGGGCCTTGCCTCAGTGATGTCCATCACACACATCTTGCCGTGGCAGTGTCACCATGAGCATCACCACAGCCACATTCCTCATGCAGTTTGCCATGGCTGTGTCCCCACAAGCTGCTCTGCAGCCCTGTCCCCATGAGCCTTGCTGCAGCCATGTCCCCCTCCAGGCACTTCCGTGACAAGTCACAGCCAAAGTTCCCCATGATCCCTCTTAAGCATGTTCTTGCGTGGGCCTTGCTGCTGCCAGCTCCTTGGCACGTTTCCCCACGGCCATGTCCAGCACTTGTACCACCACAGCAGTGTTCCCTGTAGGCATCGTCACCTCCACGCTGAGGGCTCTGCAGGAGTGAAGCCAGGACATGGCATGTGCTGAGACATAGACAGAGGCTGTGAGGCTGGAGGGGAGGCCCTTGCCTCATGCAGACCAGACAAGCTCTCTTAGGTCACCAAACCCCAGGGGGCTGGTGGTTCCCGGGGCACTTGGCCTGCTCCCTCCTGTCCTCCCTGCTTGTCAAGTCAGGGTGGCGATGCTGGAGGTGTTGGGGGCTGCAGGATGTTAATCACCTGCAATCCTCTTTCAATTAAGACCTGTTCAGCACTTAACTGGGGAGCCCCAGAGGGCAGGTGTGTACTAGGAAAGGCACATGCCTCCCCAGCGTGCAGGTGGCTGCCTCCTTGAGTCAGCTCTTTTCTCGGGGTTATGAATATTGCCTCCACACAAGAAATCACACTGGGGTGCTGGTACAGCTGCACAGACATGGGGAATAGCACCAGTGCATGGAGCTCTCCTTATTATCCCTGCTCGCACAAATGTGCTCTGATCTGTATTTCTGCAGTAACAGAAGAGCTTGTGTAAGTCCTGTAATGCCTAAGAGGATCTTGGAGTGGGTTTGCTTGCTGTCCTTCTCACTAGATTTATGCTAGAAACACATCTCTGCAGGAGACTGAAGGGAGCAGAGTATTTATGCTCTGAGGGCTGGAGCAGCTCTGCTCTGGAGACAGGCTGAGAGAGCTGGGCTGGTTCAGCCCAGAGAAGAGAAGGCTCCTGAAGGGGAGACCTTAGAGCAGCTTCCAGTGCCTGAAGGGGCCAACAAGAAATCTGGAGAGGGGCTTCTGACAAGGGCCTGTAGGGACAGGACAAGGGGGAATGGCTTTAACCTGACAGAGGGGAGGTTGCGATAAGACATTAGGAAGAAGATCTTCCCTGTGAGGGTGCTGAGGTGCTGGCACAGGGGGCCCAGAGAAGCTGTGGCTGCCCCATCCCTGGCAGTGTTCAAGGCCAGGTTGGACACAGGGGCTTGGAGCAACCTGCTCTAGTGGAAGGTGTCCCTGCCCATGGCAGGGGATTGGACCTGGATGAGCTTTAAGGTCCCTTCCAACCCAAACCAGTCTGTGAGTCTATGATTTATACAACTGTGCAGTGGTTTCAGTCTCTCCAGTGAGCCCCAGGGAACAGATGGACCCTTTCAGACTCCCAGCAGAGGTAGCAGAGTGCGTAATCCTGCTGCTTAGCAGGGACAGATCCCAGCTACGAAGGAGAGTTTCAAGAGGAAGCATTATTTAAAGTCAGTCTATAGCTGTGTTAAAAATTCCCATTTATTTCTAAAAATACCTGAGTGAGGGCAGGTTTCCCCAGCCTGCTCCTCATCCCACAAACAGGCTCGCATTAGCATTCACAGCACAGGCACAGCTCCTCCGAAACTTGGAAGGTCACCACGGAGCAGCCTGTCTTGCCAGGAACCCTGCCCCCCGCAGGACAGTTTATTTGTTCCACAGGGTGAAACGTGTGTAAAACCCGGAGTGGGGAGAACAGAAGGACCCATGGGACAGGGAAATCACCTTCCTGGCCCTGAGACAGCCGGTGTGCACAGGGCCCTGGGCAGACTCTGCGTCAGCTTCATCTCAGCATGGGAAAACTTCAAAAGCCCAGCCTGAGCATCACCTCAGCTGAGCTCGGCAGTGTATAAATACACCGTTCAGCATCCTAGATAATTCTTGCCCTAAGTTAATTAGGGAAACACTTAACAGGCAACAAGTTTTCTCTATAGAAGGCTGTTGGCAGGGAGACGTGCAGCCCAGGCTTGGCCAGCATCCCGCGTGAGATCCTTCTGACAAACAAACTGTGGTGCATGGTGTTCGGGAGCAGGAGACAACAGCTGCTTTGGGAAGATGTCCCGACTCTGGAAAGCACTTGGGTCTGCTCTTGATTTTGAGTGACTTTGGTGAAAGCAAAGTGTGTGCTGTGGGTAAGTGTCTTGCTTTGCCTCCCCAGCGCATTTACTACCTGTCCCTGGAGTTCTACATGGGCCGCACTCTGCAGAACACCATGGTGAACCTGGGCCTGCAGAACGCTTGTGATGAAGCCATTTACCAGGTGAGGTCTTGGGGGTGCTGGGGTTCCCCTGAAGAACCAGCCATACTTTTCCACGTGGAGGGCTGGCTATCTATATTTCTCAGGGCTTCCTCCTAAGGGTTTTGACTAAACAAAGTGAGGCATGGGCGAGGCTGAGCACCAAGACACCAAATTACAGTTCATACCTGTACACATATATGTACGTAAGGCAGTGCAGCAGTGCTGCCACACAAAAGTGAGTCACTGGGAAGGAAGAAAGGTGTGGGGGGGAATTGTTTGCTTGAATTAAAATGTCATCAGAATTCAAACTGGGAAAAACACTGCTGAGTACCATCAAACAAACCACAAATAGTGATTAGTGAGGTTTGCAGCTAACTCTCCAGCAGGACAGTGACCTTTTTGACAGAGTATGAGTTTTTGGGCTTTCTCACCCAAAAGCTTTATTTCCCCATCTCCTCTCCCCCTCTCCCCACCGCAGTGGTACATGTTACACTTCCCAGCAGAAGCTGGGCTCTGTCACTGGCTCTCAAAATGAAGTGCTACAATTGCTGATGAAACACCACTTTTCCTGCGAGGAGATGGGAAGGCATTTCCAGGGAGGCATCTGACGTGTTTCCTCTCTGAAGTATCGTGGAGGGCAGGCTGGCTTTTTCCAGGGAGGATCCATAAGTCCCTTGACAAGGCATTTTCCACATGCTGGTTTGGCCTGACATGCGGGTGGAGGCTTTCCTTGCTGCAGCCTCCAACATGTGGAGCTTATCATGGCCGGTGGCCAACTGGGATGGAAGGTCTCATATCCAGCATGGCTCTGTCACAGGGAATCCGCCTCGTTTTTTGGGACCCCATCACACTGTGCATGAGGCTTTCCCGGGTTGTTGGGGCGCAGCTCAGGGAGCAGCCATGGTGTTGGCCTGACTCCCCGCTGTCCCCCCTGGCACCGAGGTGGTATCTCTTGGCTCCTGGAGAGTGTTTGCTGCTGGCACGCTTGTCCTGCATCCGGCCTCAGCCCCTCGGGCTGGAGAACAAATGAGATGCAGCACAACAACCACTTCCAGCCACTGCCTGCAGTCAGGGAGCTGGCAGCAGGCGGGGCAGGATGTGGGAAGGCCTGGAGCATGGTGATGAATGCTGCAGTAACCAGTGGCTGTGCTCTTCCTCAAGGACGGGGCGGGTGGGAGCAGGGGGCAGTGTGTGTACCCGGACATGGCTTGGCCGTTCGCCATCCTTTCTCCAAGGGCAAGCTCAGTGGAAGGGCCTCCTGGGCTGCCAGATGAGTGTTTGTTTGAGGTCTCTAAGGAAACCTCGTCCATGGGAAAGGATTGTTTTCCAATTAACTGGGCTTCCCAGGGACCAGAGGCTGGTGAGATGTTTTGTGGGGAGGGGGAGATGCAGAGACCCCTGTGGGTTTGATTTCCCGTGTTGTGGGTTGGTTTGGGATCTGTGCCCTCCTCAGAGAGCAGCCCCAGGGCATGGGCTTTGGGTGGTGACATTTTCTGCTGTTGCTCTTTCCCCAATAGCTGGGTTTGGACTTGGAGGAGCTGGAAGAAATTGAAGAAGATGCTGGGCTGGGAAATGGAGGCCTGGGCCGCCTGGCAGGTAAGCTGGGGAGAAGGGAGCCACTTCCTCACACAGATGTTGGTGTGACTGGAGACACCACAGCAGCACAGTGTGCAGACCTCAGCCCACATCAGCAGCATGCTACCCTTCTGCTGCTCCTGGCTGGCAAGAAATGAGCCCCCTCCCCAGGGACGGCATCCAGGAGGTGTAGTTGAGTAGTCTGGAGCACAGCAGACAGGGCTGTGGCTGGAAGAGGCTGTCTGGAGCCTTTCTCCTCACCTCCCTGTGAAATCTCTCACTTCTCACAGGCACCCAAGCAGCTCTCATGTGGGCAGATTGTTGGCTGCTATTTCTGTCTGCCTGTCCCACAGTACTGCTGGAGACAGGAGCTCCCCAGTGCAGGAGGCATTGCTGGGGCTGATCTTTAGCAGAGCTGCTGCAGTTTGAGGGCTGGAAGGGTTTGCTTTGAAAGCAATCATAGTGCAGTAGCTGGTAGAGCAGCAAGTTGGGGTCAGCAGCTCTGCTTTACTGGGCAGGCAGGCCCAGGTCAAGCTGTGGGCACCTCAGGCAAGTCTAGAAGAGCTCTCACTGTGGCAAGGCTGAATTTGGGGGTTCAGTGGCCTGTGCTTGTCACCAACAACTTTGGGGTGTTCCTGGTGGCTCAGCAGGTCTGTCCCCTCTGCGTGCAGATTTTCTTTGAGTAATAGATGTTTCCAGTGGCACTGGTTGTGGCAGCTCCTTACTTCCATGTGCAGCAAGCTGTGGCAGGGATGGCAAGAGAGGGGTGAGGTTCCTTGCAGCATGACCATGCTCTGGTCTTCCAGCTTGTTTCCTGGACTCCATGGCCACGCTGGGGCTGGCGGCATACGGATATGGCATCCGCTACGAGTTCGGTATCTTCAACCAGAAGATTGTCGACGGCTGGCAGGTACATTGACAAGCTCAAGTTGTAGAATCACAGACTGGTTTGGGTTGGAAGGGACCTTAAAGCTCCTCCAGTTCCAACCCCCTGCCATGGGCAGGGACACCTTCCACTAGAGCAGGTTGCTCCAAGCCCCTGTGTCCAACCTGGCCTTGAACACTGCCAGGGATGGGGCAGCCACAGCTTCTCTGGGCACCCTGTGCCAGGGCCTCAGCACCCTCACAGGGAAGAACTTCTTCCTAATGTCTCATCTCAATCTCCCCTCTGTCAGGTCAAAGCCATTCCCCCTTGTCGTGTCCCTACAGGCCCGGAGCAAAAGCCCTGTCTCCAGGTTTCTTATGGGCCCCTTTATTCACTGGAAGCTGCTCTGAGGTCTCCCCTTAAGGAGCCTTCTCTTCTCTGGGCTGAACCAGCCCAGCTCTCTCAGCCTGTCTCCAGAGCAGAGCTGCTCCAGCCCTCAGGGCATCTCCGTGACCTCCTCTGGACTTACTTGAGCAGGTCACCCTTTCTCCTTCTGTTTCACACTGGTGGCCACCTCTGCCTGTGGACAAGGTCTCACTACACAGATAACATGGCGGTGCCTTGACCTGTTCATGAACTGGATGCTTGAGCCCAAAACCTGGTGCCAGATGTGCTGTCACTTCCTACCACTTGTGCTGACCCTTGGGCTCTGACTGCCTGAACAAAGAGGAGTGCTGAGGGTGGTGGGGTGCCCACGTGGCAGGCACGCACCCGGGGACATGTGCGAGCTTATCATCAAATCAGAATCAAACAGATTGGAAAAGACCTTTAAGATCATCAAGTCCAACTGTTAAGTTGGACTTAAGTCTTAACTGTTCCTCGTGAAGTTGCCTGGTGGAGGGTGAATTTGAACACAGTGGGACACATGCAAGTGCTTGGAGTGCTGCTGCTTCTGTGAATTCCCTGGGAGATGCAGCAAGGGCTTAAACAGGGACTCTCCTGTAGTGTTAATGATCATAATATTTGCAAGTGAAAATAGGCTAAAAAATCCAGCCCCAGCTGGCAGTTTTCTCTAGCATATATCTGGAAATGGCTTCCATTAGGAGACTTGCCTTGCTTCTGAGCATAAAGGACCTTTTCTCCCTTTAAAATAGTTCTCCATAAGTCAGGGAGGGTTAGAGGTTTGAGAGTTGTTTTTCCCTTCTTCCCCACAGAGAAGCTGTAATGCGAGGCCCTATAAATGGTGAACACCGGGAACAAAACGTCCCTGTAATTGGCTTGATGTTACTTAAAAAAGAACAGGGGTGGTGGCGATGCTGGGCTGTGGCTCAGACCTGCCCCCCTGCCTGCACAGCAATGCCTGCGGGCACAAAGCATCTCTCCTCAGCCCCTCTGAGTTCTGGTGTACATCAGCCCTGGTGGCTCAGCTGCATTCCTTTCACTCCCATTGCTGCTGTTCTGTGCAGAGAGGAGAAATCCTCTCTGGCAGAGGGCAGAGCAAGACCTGGGTTACAGAGGGTGGCTTGTGGCCAGGAACAGCACAGATTGCCTTCTAGGGAACCACATCCCACATCTGCTATCAAAGTAGATGTAAAGAACTCAAGACAGACTGAGTGCAGCAGTCTGTGTTTGCAGCAGTTTGGGTGGTTTAAACCTGTACAGCCTGTAAAAGCTGGTATATTTATACCAGCTGCGGTGTAGTCATCCGTGTTTTGAAAAGCCCAGCTGTCCTCTAGAGGCCTCTGCACATCCATTTTTGAAGTCGGCTTACTAAAGCCTTGCTTCTGAACTTGCCTCTCTTTGGAGAGCCTTTTCTAGTCTTCACTTGAAGCTGGGAGCCATCACTCAGACTCTGTTTGCCCCTTGCAGGTGGAGGAGGCTGATGACTGGCTGCGCTATGGCAACCCCTGGGAGAAGGCACGCCCAGAGTACATGCTCCCTGTGCACTTCTATGGCCGAGTGGATCACACCCCCGAGGGTGTGAAGTGGGTCGACACCCAGGTACCAACATCTCCTGCAGTGCTGGGCTGGGGGAGGATGCAACAGGGTGGTGTGTGGAGGGGCACAGTCTGTCCCCGGGCTGCTGCGTGATCAGACTTTGCTTCTCATCCAGCCGAGCAGAAACCTCTCCTTGCTGAAGGTGACTTGTCAACATGTGGTTCTGGTGTTGTGGCTGTGAGTGGAGATCCATCTTGTGGGGTATTCATGAAGCAATCCTGTTGGTGTTTAACTCCCATGATCAGACCAGCCTGTTGGGCAGTGTGCTGTAAGGGGAGGCTGGAAGCATGGTTTCAAGTCTGCCTAGAGGCCTTGGTTTGTGGTATTGTGGACAGCAAATGCTTCCTCAGCCTCCCACAGCTGGGGAGGTAATGCTGTGCTTCAGGAGCATGTGCCTGCTCAGAGCACAGGCTGCTGTGTCCCAAGTGCATTCCAGTCTTACAGCTGAGAAAGCAAGCTTTAGGGAGGCACAGATTTAGTAAAAGGATGGAAAATGTTTCAGCCTCTCCTGTCTAAGCACCGCCCAGGATGGAGGAAGGATGATGAATTTCTCTGGGATTCAGGGACATGTCCAAGTCTTGTTCCCATGATGTTCAGGGGTCTTTCAGCCTCATGAAATAACTCTGCCTATCCAAGGAGCACACAGTCATAAGGGCAAGCCATTCTATTCAGCATCAGGAGCTGAAGCTCAGTTGCAGAGTTGCTTGGGCCTGCTCAGAGGGGGAACAAACCAGATCCTTTTCCAGGCACCCTGGTTGTCAAGTGCTGTGCAGTGACCTAGCCCATTCCCAGGACACACAGAGTGCAGGGGTTCAACACCACAGCCCTGTGAGCAGGATGGAGACACTGTGCCAGAGCAGACATCACTAGGGGACTGAGTCCACTGCCTTTCAGTGTGCTCATCTTCTGACCCCAGCAGTAGTCTAGGGTTTCAGGGATCCCAAACAGTGCAGTGGAAACACTGCTTCCTACAGGCAGGTGAATTTTCAGATAATGCCATTAAGGGAACAAGTTGGAGAGGCTCAAAAAGCCAAAGATGCGGTCTCCCAGTATAGCATCACTCAGCTCATGTGATGTGCCCCAGTACCATGGCTCAGGCAGGGTGGGCTTGCTGCCTGTTTCCATGTTGGGAGCTGGTGATGGCAGCTCTGAGAGCCTGAACTCTTGCTGCTTCTCCCTAGAGAGGAGGTGTTGCTAATGCCAGCACAAGGAGACTGTTGGGGGCCAGCATGCTGATCTGCCTGGGTTTTCCCTGCCCTGCAAGCACAGCTCCTTCAGTTCTCTGCTGCCTTTCCCATCTTTCCTTGCAGACAGCCCCTGGCTGTGGGCTGTCATGCCAATACACACTGACTTGCTAAGGAGGGTGCTAGCTCCTTTTGCCAGTGTCGGAGTGCTGGCCCAGGCTTCCTGCTGCAGCATCAGGGCCTTGCTCTGCAAGCACCATTCAGCTCTTCTGGCATAAGCCCTCAGCCTCTGCATTCCAGGCCAGGGTGCCTTGCCTTGCTGCTCATCAGGGCTGGAGACATGGAGATGTTGGCACAGCAATGGGCTGGAGCACACAAAATTGGCAGCACACCCATGCCCTGGCTGGCTAGTGTGACTGAGCTGGGAACACCAGTATTACTTCCTGTGTGCAGCACCCTGATGCTTAAGCATGATCCATAGACAGCAGTAGGAGTTTTGTGCTCATGTGCAGTTTGGGTGCTGGAGATCTCAGTGAATTTACCCAGACAGGTTCAACAAGCCTTGATGAATATTGGATGAACTGCTCTGGGAATGGTGCTGGATCAGGGTTTGGTCCTGGCAGGCTGCAGAAGGCTAACAGGCAAGATTCAGGCTGTGGCATTTATCCCAGATGGAAACTCGAAGGTCGCAGCTGCCCTGGCCCTACCCCAGCACAGATAGAATTGCAGTGGCCAGCTAAGGGTGCTTGCAGTGCTCTGGTGAATAACAGGAACGCCTGTTGGTGTAAGAATGTCAGCAGGTTTCTTGCAACTCTCTTTCACATTTAATTGATGGGGTTTTAAATCCAGTTTGTCGGCAAAGCTCCAAACAGCTCTGCTGCTCCTGTTAACACTTTGCCAGTGGGTGCTGGAAGTGCCCATGGTAGCAGGGAAGTCTGTGGAGCTCAGTTCTAGTGAGGTGAGATTCTTACAACAGCCAGGAGTTGTCTGTGTCCTCTGGATTCTTCCTGCAGAGGTTTCAGCCACTTTCCCACCTCCTCTGAGGCCAGAGTGCTGCTCATCAGAGGGAATGCTGTTCTTTTGCAGGTTGTCCTTGCTATGCCCTACGACACGCCAGTGCCAGGGTATAAGAACAACACTGTGAACACCATGAGGCTGTGGTCTGCAAAAGCACCCAATGACTTCAATCTCCAAGAGTGTAAGTGCTGCCCCTCCACTGCCTCTTTCCTGCCCAGGCTGGGACATGGTTGTTCCTGTGTGCGCAGCACCTGGCACAGCACTCTCCATCTGGCCTGCTTTATCCATACCCCCTGCCCAGTTCCAAAACACAGCACTGTGTGTGCATCCACGGGTGGCACTATTTCCTGAGCCCTGCCGGGAGAACTTGTGTGAGACAAGTGGTGATGGCTCTTGAGTCCTCATAATGTCTCCTCAGTTCTTGAAACTGCGAGCTGGGTTTCACATGAGCCTTTTGTACCTTTAGGAGCCGAGTGTGATTGTGATCTCTCTGCTGCTTTGTTTGGCCCCATTTCTCCTTAGTCCTTAGGCAATATGGCTGGTCACTTGCTTCTGGTTTTGCCTTCTCTGGCTGCTGTCTGTCTTCAGTGTCTGTCCTTCCTCATATGTATGTCTTGAGAAACTGTATGGGGATGTGCCTTTCTCTTATCCCACTGTCTCCTGGCTCTCTGGTGCCTTTCACACATACACATTTCCATTCAGATTTCATTAATCCCAGCCTCAATGTTCCTGTTACAAATCTCTCTACAAGAGAAAGAGGGAGAAGCCCAGTGTCGGGGACCTGTCTGAATCTCTACAGCTGCCTCAGTGCTGTGTGTATTTCTTTTTTGCTGCAGTTAACGTGGGTGACTACATTGAGGCGGTGCTGGACAGAAACCTGGCAGAGAACATATCCAGAGTCCTGTACCCAAATGACAATGTGAGTGCCTCTCTTGCCTCTATCCCTCCCTGTAGTGGTATTGCCTTGCGTGCAAGCACTCGAGGGTCATGGCCACCTGAAGGTTATTGGCCCCGTAATTCCTGGTTAGCAGGTGCAGCTCTGCAGGTTCCAGAGGGTCTCTGCTGACTGATGGCAGCTGAGAGGCTGGCCCGTATTGTAGAGCTGCTGTGTTCCCTGCTGCAAGGAGGCGAAGACGTGTTACTCCTTCAAATTCAAGGCAGTTGCCAATTTACACGGCTAACCCTTTACAAAAGTCAGTTGTCATTTCAGAGACTGCCATGAGGGGGAACTCGTTTCCATCTCCATTCAGGGTGGATTTCTCACTGCGGAGACTGTCCCAGGCCATGCACTCACTGGGCACTGTATCCAAAAGGGAAGAGCCCTCGCTATCAAGTCATGGATTAACATCTGTGCTGAAAAAGCTTATCTCCTGCACTCTGGTTCCTGCTGGTCTTTTCAAATAGACATGTGCATGGGAGGCAGTTGGTGTGTCCAGAGACACTGACTCCTGGCTGTTGCAGCAAGTCCAAAATTCCTGGTCCAAAACCCCTGCAAAGGGTCTTGCAGTGAGGGAGGGACCTGCACTTGGTCTGTAGGAGTACCATGGATGTGGCAGATTCTGTTGCTCTCTGGAGGCAGTTGTTCGGGATGCTGAGTCCCTTGTCTGTTCCTACAGCTGCTGCCCCATCAGAGTCATTGAGAAACATCCAGACTTGTCCTGATGGGTGCTGGGCCTAAGGGGCCTGTTGGGTAGCCCACCAGAGTGGACAGGAGCATCTCCAGGGGCTTGGCTGCCAGCTCGGGTGGCAGCTGCAGCACTGATGCCTCTGGTCCCTCCACTTGCAGTTCTTTGAAGGCAAGGAGCTGCGGCTGAAACAGGAGTACTTTGTGGTGGCTGCCACCCTCCAGGACATCATCCGGCGCTTTAAGTCCTCCAAATTTGGCTGCAGAGATCCTGTGAGAACATGCTTTGAAACCTTTCCAGACAAGGTGAGTTTGTGGCAGAGAGGGTCCAGGGGCGTTTCAGTCAGACCTGCCTGTCATCAGGGAAAGCGGGATGCTCAGGACCAAGTTGGGGCATGTATACAAAACCCCTGGCAATTTGGGTTGGAAAACAAGTGATTTAGAGCAGCAGTTGAGTAGCTCTGTCCCAGGAGCAGCATCTGTTTCTGGTGTGTGTGCCATGAGAAGAGACTGGGGCTGACCCTCACCACAACCCCACACGTGCAGGAAGGACACTGTCAAAGTCCTGTCGTTGCCAGATCTCAGCCCAGCAAGTCTTGTGTTGCAGGTGGCTATTCAGCTAAATGACACCCACCCTGCCCTGTCCATCCCAGAGCTCATGCGGATCCTGGTGGATGTGGAGAAAGTGGACTGGGACAAGGTAAGCAGAGTACATGTTGAACCATACAGGAGAAAGCTGCTGCCTGTCCTCACGTGGGGTTTCCTTTCCTCTCTTTGCCTGGGCACGTGTGTGTTAACCTGCTGTCTGTACCACAGGCCTGGGAGATCACAAAGCGGACCTGTGCCTACACCAACCACACGGTGCTGCCCGAAGCCCTGGAGCGCTGGCCAGTCTCCATGTTTGAGAAGTTGCTCCCACGTCACCTGGAGATCATCTACGCCCTCAACCAAATGCATCTGGACGTAAGGGGCTGGTCTGGTCACAAGCTGTGGGAGCTCTGGGGGGGTTGGTCTGGCTGCATTTAGGATGGGAATTCCTATGGCTGCATCACTAATGTCCCTCTCTTTCCGCACGCAGCGGGTGGCAGCTCTCTACCCAGGGGACATTGACCGTCTCCGGAGGATGTCGGTGATTGAAGAAGGAGACTGCAAGCGTATTAACATGGCACACCTCTGTGTGATCGGCTCCCATGCAGTCAACGGCGTGGCCCGTATCCACTCGGACATTGTCAAGAACTCAGTGTGAGTTGGGGGACACCCAAGGTTGGGATGCAGCCTGTTCACTCACTGGGCTCTGCCCACAAGCCTGGGTCAAGGTCAGCTTTGGTTGCCCTGCTGGACATAGCATGCTGGGGACAGTCTCTTGTTTAACTCCGGAGCTGGTGGAACTCTCAGCTTTACAGCTGAGGAAGGGGGTGAGAGGCAGCACAGAGCTCACGTGTGTTACAGGGAGATCCACATGGACTGCCCTGAGTCAGGAGCACGTGCAGTGGGGGCCCAGCTGGAGCTTTGGGTGGTGGCGGGTGGCTCAGAGCTTGCTGCTCTTCCAGGTTCAAGGATTTCTATGAGCTGGAGCCGGAGAAGTTTCAGAACAAGACAAACGGGATCACGCCGAGGCGCTGGCTCCTGCTGTGCAACCCGGGACTGGCTGATGTTATTGCTGAGGTGAGTTGCAGGCAGCTGGAGAGCGATCCATTTGCTTCTGGTCACCTCTTCATGTGTCTGATCGGACCTGAGGCTGGGGCCTGGGAAGTGTGAGTGAGGACAGCATGGGAGGAGCATGCCTTTTGCATGTGTAGGTGTGAGACTGGCTGAGTGTTGAAGTTGGTGATGAAGAGTTGGCCAAAAATGTTGCTGAGATTTGGATCTGGTTCCCTGTCCTTGCAGTGACAACGCACAATCTGTCAGTGTGTGAAATGGGGTGTCTGCAAAAGCATGCAGCTTCACAGACACAAAAGAGCTCCCTTGGAGCTCCAGCCCTGGCCCTGTCTCCTCTGTTTAGCAGGCCCTTTAGCACAGGTTTGTGCTCTGCACTGTGACATGCCATAGCTGAATAATGTCCTGCAATTAAATGTATCTTCATCTCCTGCTCATCAGTTCCTCCAGTTGCCAGGAGGCCCTGGTGCACATCTTCCATCTAAAGCTCCTTGAGAGAGGGACTTGTTTGGGTTTTTCCAAGTGCCCCATTTCCCCTGTACCTTTGGGCTCCCTGATGGCACAGAGAAGTAACCTGACCCTAAGAAACTGCACCCCTTTTCCTGGCCAGAGTGCCTCTTCCAGTTCCCAATGGGAGTGTGGCATCTCTGTTGGGGAAGCAGAGTTGTGGCTGGGGTGAGGTGTCTCAAGAGTGGGACCGCATCACCCTCTTGGTTTGTTCTTTCAGAAAATTGGGGAAGACTTTATCACAGATCTGAGCCAGCTGAAGAAGCTACTGGATTTCATCAACAACGAGACTTTCATCAGGGATGTGGCAAAAGTCAAGCAGGTAACACGCACTGGTAGTGGGTGGGGGGAAGAAAGACACCATGCTTCCAGGAACATCCCAGCAACAAATGCTCGCTTCTGACTCAAGGCCTCAGAACCCACGCCTGTTCCTTCTGAAATTTTCCTGCCAGGAGAACAAGCTCAAGTTTGCTGCCTACTTGGAGGAGCAGTACAAGGTCAAGATCAACCCTTCGTCCATGTTCGACGTTCAGGTCAAGCGAATCCATGAGTACAAGCGGCAGCTGCTGAACTGCCTGCATGCCATCACCCTTTACAACCGTAAGTCCTGCCTGGGCTGGTAGGCAAGGGGTGTCCCTCAGAGCTTCACTGCAAGGGCTCCCACGTAGAAGTATGGCAGCTGGGCTGGCCAAGGGACTTCTGGGGAGGCAGGGGTCTGGAACTAGGTAAGATTTAAGGTCCCTTCTGACCCAGATTCTATGACTTCGTGGCTCATTTTTGCCTACCACAGCCCTGGCAGATGTCTTCATTGGGCTTCAGAGTCCTGCAGATCAGTTGGGCCCATGTGACATGGGCTGGGATTCCAGCCCACCTCTGATGCACACAGTAATTTCTGCCCACTTTACCTTCACTCTGGTTGTTATGTCTTGTTCTTTCAGGCATCAGAAGCGATCCATCCAAATCCTTTGTGCCCAGGACTATTATGATCGGAGGAAAGGTAACTTGCATTCCAGCCTCGGTGCATTCATGGCTCAGTGGGGATGTGGGATGTGTCTCCTTTCTGTGGCTTGGCCAGGCCCACTGTAGGTTAGTCAGCATGGCTGCTGGTGGGCTCTTCAGGGAACGCCTTTATGGACTAATGGGACTGAACAAAGCC